ACGTAGAAGTAGTTTCTTTTAAAGTTTGAAGTGATATATGTAAACGTTTTTACAGCACTGTGTTAGACAAGTGGACAAGTGTGGGTGTTGGGACAGAGCCCAAATCAAATATTGTGGCACGTCAATAACATTTCACTGTTTATCAGGTTATATGGATTTCTTTAGCACTACATTTATGTCCTTTTTAAAGTTTGAAACTTTCATAGCCTTTTGGAGTCCTAGTAACTCGTGTTTATTTTTGGGTTAACAGTTCCTGTAGTTCATACCTGTTTTTCCGTCCTCTGTGCTGCAGCTGATACAGTGTTGTGGTTTTCATGCTCATATTTTGCACACAGCACACAAATGCACCGTTGGTCCGTAATACAGTACATTTCCAGATGTTTATCATGTTCATGGCAGATCATCTCCTGCAGTCGTCCAGTGGCTTCAGTCAAATTGTGTTTCTTTCCTTTGAAAAAACTCTCGTGTTGTTCGAGGTGATTCTGACAGTAAGAGTTCAGACACATCAGACAGGACCTGACGGCTTTGTATTTTCTTCCAGTACAGACGTCACACTGCACATCTCCAGCTCCAGCGTAACAGTCAGCAGAGAGTTTGGTCTTCTTCAGTTTCTCCACCACTTCAGCCAGCATGGTGTTTTTAGCTAAAGCAGGTCTCGGACTGAAGCTCTGTCTGCACTGAGGGCAGCTGTAGACTCTCTTCTGATCCTCGAGATCCCAGAAGTCTGTAATACAGTTCATACAGTAACTGTGTCCACACTGGATGCTCACTGGCTCCTTCGGGAGATCCAGACACACTGCACACACAATCTCATCCTGAGAAAATCTGGCTTCTGCCATTTTACTTAATGAATACAGAGAGAGAGACAAACACACAACAGCTCAACGACACTTCAGTTTCTCTTTTCCCTGAACACTGTAGTTTCCTGCTTCTGTGTTTGAGTAGCGCGTGTGAAACAGGTTTGTCTGCAAGTCTACAGGTCCCACATAATAAAATGTAGACTATATGTCAGTATCACACAAACACTCCCAAAATACGAGTTACAGAGAAGCAAGTCGACACCCTTAAAATCTGCAGTATTACACTTGTACTGCAGGACTGAAAACTGTGCATGTTTTCACTTTGTGTATATCTGTGGCTCAGGGTTTTATTGTGTTGTAATGGCATGGGAGAGAGAACTATGTAAAGGTGATTCTCTC